ACATGCCTCCCGAGGAGGTCGTGGTGGTTCCATATTTGGCCGTGGTGGTGGTCGTGACTCAAGGGGAGGCCGTGGCAAAGAAAAAGGCAGCTCTACAAGGAAGTGTACCCACTGTGGCAGGGAAGGACATTCGGTAAATTTCTGTTATGATCTYCATGGCCGCCCTCCCTCTAAATGGGCCAATCATGTTGTTGCTAGTGGGGTTGATGTCAGTGATAATCAACAAGCAGACCTAACTCCTTCCACATCTACATCTGTTTCCGAAAGGGAGATGGTGAGTGTACCGCGTGATGAGTATGAGCGGTTCCTTCAGTCCACTTCACAGCACACTACTGCTACTCTTGCCCACTCGGATATAGCTTGCCTATCATCTAAAACCTCGCCTTGGATTATTGACTCTGGAGCCTCTGATCACATGACCGGGACTCCAGGTGTGTTCTCTTCTCTCTCTGAAACTTCTACATCTCAAACTGTTACCCTTGCCAATGGTTCCTCCTCTCCCATTTGTGGTGTTGGCAATGTTGACATGGCTTCTCTTTCTTTATCATTTGTTCTATATGTCCCTAAGTTTCCATTCAATCTTATGTTTGTTAGTAAATAGGCCCATCAGTCTTGCAACATTAACAAAGCAAATGGGAGATCCGAATCAGCCCATATTCATGCACATGGACTCAAATTGGACCCGCCCATCTTTAGCTAATAGCAGCCCAAATGGGCCTAGAGATTTCCAAAGCCACCTACAACAACTCCTTCAGCAATATGGCAACGTGTTCGAAGAACCCCAAGAACTTCCACCACGCTGGGAGCATGACCACCGCATCCCCCTCATGCCAGGAGCTGCCCCAACCAAAGTAAGACCCTACCGATACCCATACTTTCAAAAATTTGAAATCGAGAAGCATGTTCAAGATATGCTTAAGCAAGGGATAATACAACCCAGTCACAACCCATTCTCTTCACCGGTATTATTAGTCAAAGAGAAGGATGGGACGTGACAATTTTGTATTGATTACAGAGCCCTTAACAATATCACCATTAAAGACCGATTTCCAATACTAGTCATTGATGAGCTGCTTGATGAACTCAGTCAACCCACCATATTCTCAAAATTAGATTTACGAGCTGCGTATCATCAAATAAGGGTACATAGGGAGGATGTTCACAAAACGGCTTTCAGGACACATGATGGCCACTATGAGTTCCTGGTCATGCCATTTGGGCTAACCAATGCTCCAGCCACATTTCAAGCATTAATGAACGACATATTCCGGCCATATTTACGTAAGTTCATCCTTGTTTTCTTTGATGACATATTGATCTATAGCCCCAATTGGGAGGAACATCTGAATCATCTACAAGTCACCCTTGCAACACTTGAGGCCCACCAGTTGTTCGCTAAAGAGTCCAAGTGCTCCTTTGGACAAAACCAAGTTCACTACTTAGGACATGTTGTAGAGAACGGAACTGTAGTGGCTGACCCAGATAAAATCTCTAGTATAATGGGCTAGCCGCAACCCAAAAGTGTGAAAGAGTTGAGAGCCTTCTTGGGCCTGACTGGGTACTACCTCCGCTTCATCAAAAACTATGGCCTAATAGCTACCCGTTGACCCAATTGCTGAAACAAGATGCTTTTCACTGGTCAACCCAGGCCCAACAAGCTTTTGAGCAGTTGAGACAGGCAGTTGCGAGCCCTCCAACATTAGCATTGCCCGATTTCATAAAAGACTTCATCATTGAGTGTGATGCCTTCGGTCAAGGTGTTGGGGCTGTTCTCATGCAAGAGGGGCGACCACTAGCCTTTTTCTGCAAGGCCTTAACATCACAAAAATGGGCCAAATCAGTTTATGAACGAGAATTAATAGCAGTGGTCTTAGCAGTCCAATGTTGGCGATCCCACTTGCTCGGTAAACGGTTCATAATTGGACCAATCATCAAAGTTTGAAGTTAATATTGGATCAATCAGTCCTATCCCTGGAACAACAACGATGGATATCCAAGCTACTGGGGTACGACTACATAATTGAGTACAAAGCAGGGGTTGCTAACCGGGTGGCTGACGCCCTCTCATGGCACCCACAATCATTTCAGTTACTAGTATCTTCCCCAACTTCTCCACTCCTGGATCTACTTCGAAAAGAAGCCCAATCCCATAGGGAGTTACAGCAGTTGAAGGCCCAAGTATTGGCAAATCCTTCACTGCACCCCAGGTACACCATTAAGAATAATCTACTCTTCTTCAAAGGACGCCTGGAAATTCCAGCAGATTCTACTCATCTCAGGAAGCTCCTGGAATTATTCCATGCCTCACCCACAGGTGGCCACTCCGGCATCCTACGAACACAAAAACGTATCGCCACACAATTCCATTGGAAAGGCATGCGTACATCTCTCCAGAACTTCATAGCCAGGTGTGCAGTATGCCAACAAAACAAGTTGGCCACTACAACACCAGCAGGCCTCTTGCAACCACTCCCAATACCAACCCAAGTCTGGGATGATATATCAATGGATTTCATCACAGGATTGCCCGTTTCTATCGGCAAAACAGTTATCCTTGTGGTAGTGGATAGATTGACGAAATACAGTCATTTCCTTCCTCTATCACACCCATTTACAGCAGTCACAATTGCTGAATTGTTCCTCCGGGAAATTGTGCGCCTACACGGGCTCCCCAGCTCAATTGTATCAGACAGGGACCCTATTTTTATGAGTCATTTCTGGGCTGAACTTTTTCGCCTGCACGGGGTTAAACTCTTCAAGTCAACTAGCTACCACCCCCAATCTGATGGACAAGACAGAGGCGGTTAACAAGAGTCTCGAAACATATCTGAGATGCTTCACGGGAGATCGACCAAGACAATGGGTGAAGTGGACCACCAAAGTAGCGGCCTTAGAAGAACAGCTAACACAACGAGATGAGGTGTTAAAGGAACTGAGACATCATCTCTTACAGGCACAGCAATGGATAAAGCACACCTATGATAAACATCACAAGAATGTCCAATATGAAGTCGGTGATTGGGTGTTTCTCAAATTACAACCTTTCAGACAGATTTCAGTTGCAAGCCGACAGTGGAACAAAACTGCACCCTGTATTCCATATCTCCTTATTGAAGAAAGGGCCGAAGCCAGGAGTCATTACAAGTGTGACCCTTCCCACATTTTCAGAGGAAGGACAAGTGCAGACTGAGCCAACCCGCATCATTGATTTCAGATGGGTGCGCCGGGGTGGAAGAGTCATACCAGAAGCATTAGTTGTTTGGTCTAAACTCCCAAAAGAGGATGCAACCTGAGAATCCTACTTAGATCTGCAATCAAATTTTCCCACATTAGACCTTGAGGACAAGGTCGCTCTAAAGGAGAGGGAGATTGTAAAGACTATTGGAACAGACCAACAGAAAGCAGTTAATCAGTTTTACAAGAGGAGGCCACATCAGCACAACTAATCGTCCACTTGCAACAGCTGTAACAGAAAGAAATCAAAGATTGTAAACAGTATAAGTAGTGAAGCACAAAGAGAAATAAGACAGTAATTCTTTCGGCATTAATCTCCCTCTCTCTCTCTCTCTCCCCTTCCAACGAATTCAGGAGGTTGGCTCCCTAGAAGAGCCCTGAGTTAGGCAGGTTCCTAACAGAAGTCTTGTTACAAGAATTCGTGAGAAGGTGGTCAAATCACAAAGTTATGGTTAGATGGCTTTGTAGGTTCTTTCGTTATCTTGACCGATACTTCCTCAAAGGAAGCTAGCTTCCCTCACTTGACAGAACTGCTCTCATGTTATTCCCTGATCAGGTAATGGAACATGGGACTTGCTATTTTATTACTTCTGTAGGTCAAATTTCACAGATTAAGTGGACTTTTTATTCCATTTCCCAAATCTCAGAACATTATTTGACTTGTTTCAGACTATATCCAATTCTTATACGATCTTTAGGTCTACAATGAAGTGAATGAACAACTAAGGGATGCTGTAATGTCTATGGTATGTTGACAAATGAAAACAGCTATGTCAACATGTTGGCAATCTTCACTTCCTAATCAGGCTCATGAGTAACAGTTATCTTGTCCCCTAGATTGATCAAGAGCGCAAAGGAGGGAATATTAACCAGGCATTGTTGAAGGATGTTTTGGATATATATGTGGAGATGGGAATGGATTCTATGAAGTATTATGAGGACTTCGAAGTAGACATGCTTAAAGCGACTGCTGAGTATTATTCCACAAAGGCCTCTCAGTGGATTGCAATCAATTCTTATAATGACTACATGCTAAAGGTAATTCTTCCTTCCTTCCTTCTTATGTGTACATGCGAGTTGATATTTCTTGGTTTAAAGTCAGTTTACTGTGTGGGGTGTCAAGATTAATGATCTTTAGGTTTTGTAACTGAAATAATTCCTAGGTGGATGAGTGCTTGAAACAGGAGACAAACAGAGCTTCCTGCTACTTACATTCTAGCAGTAAACAAAAGCTACTAAAGGTTATTCAGTTATTCGGCATCATTTTCTTTGCTGACTATATTGGTGACTGCTATACACCATGTACAATCAGAATATCTGGATTGATGTGTTTATAGAATCTGGTGATTCGTTTTGTCCTTGACAGGTTGTGGAACAAGAGTTATCTATGTATGCAGGTGAACTGCAAGAGAATGCATTGACAAAAGATGTTCTGGTATACTACTAATTGCAAATTCTACATAACAGAAACATATTTCATCAAATTAGTACTGCAAAAGCACTATAATCTGTAAGTGTTGCATAGCCTGTATGCAAATCTGCAGCCATATGGTGCACTTGTTGTACTGGTACTATCATACATATTTATGTATCATAGAACTGCATATTTCTAATTTAGTGATCGGCATAGGATAAAGTAATAAATGGAGAAAGCATACAACAATGTCAAACCTGATGGAATTCTTGTCTGTGTTGGACAGGAAATGGGGAAAGCATACACCAACTTGGAGGTTGGAGCATTGAAAAGAGAGAATGATAAGACCACATAGCATGATTTACAGATTTATTTCAGTAACAGTAAAGCTAAATAAGAGGTTGGAGTTTTGTGTACTTGAATTGGAAACAGGGAACCAAGAAGCAGAATGAGATATATGAAGATTGAACAAGGCCAATAATAATATAGAGAACTCTTCCTTTTAAGTTGGATGTATTCTGCAGTGAGATCTTTGTATTAAATTATATACCAATAAATCTTTATTGTGTTTCAGAAATTCTAATTAGAAAATGTTGATATTCATGACCTTCCCCATGGCTTTTAAAAACGAGATAGGAGTTCTAATTAGAAAACGAGATAGAAAATGTCAGAAATTCTAATGATATTCATGACCTTCCCCATACCAATAAATCTTTATTGTGTTTCAGAAATTCTAATTAGAAAACGAGATAGGAGTTCAAATCATAATTCCAAACAAATAGATGCAAGATTCGCATTGCAAATAAACAGTTAAGTATGAACATGGTCTCATTTTTACAAGACCTCCTTACCATAAATATTGGATGGGAAGGAAATGATACGAAGTAACTGTATTAGGATTGAACCAAGGTTTTTAAAAACGAACCTGACAATGAACCGGTTCCCAGGTTGAACGGTCCGACCATTCGAATCGAATGGATGGCCCGTTCTGACAAAAAAATATAAAAAATAAAAAACGGCCAAAACCGCTGAATAGTTCGACTGCTCGGGTCAGCAATTTGCTGACCAAATCAATGTTTTTGGGCAAATTAATGGTTTTTGGGTAAAGTGGAACCGGTCACCTGACTGGTTCCCGATTTTTCCAGTCTGACCGTCCGGTCCGGTCCGGTTTTGAAAACCATGAATTGAACCATATGAAGAGTTCCTGATAAAATCAGGACTACTTGTTCTCAACTCTAATGACACCAAGATACATACCAGTGTATTATAGTCAACCCCACTTGACACCGAGCTCCAATCACAAATATAATGGTTGAGAGTTCTTTCACCTCAGATGGCCTTTTCTTACTCCAAACCCCCTACGTTGCAAGCTTTCTCTATTTTTTCCCAACCCAATTACCTAAACATATTCCTAGAATCTCTCTCTTTCCTACAATATCTTCTCTAAACCATTAACCAATTCTTAAAATCTCTCTCACCTAAACTATCTCTATTTAATCTCTTATCCTAAAATCTTTTGGTCTTTGCTTCATTTTGATCCTTTCTTATGTTTTAACCACATAATCTGATTTCTAATATATGACAAAGCAAGGATCTAGAGAGAGAGATCCAGCTTAATCGACCTGAATCTGAATAGGTTCAGTTTTTAGTAAGTGGAGTTGGTTTTCTATTAAAACAGAATTGATTATGTAATTTAATTTTAATTAAATATTATACAATCTAATTAAATCATAAAGTTACTTAATTTAATGAAATCTCCACTAAGAAGGTTTGGTTTGATCAAACCGAACATGGACCGGTTCAATTTTCCATTAATAACTTAATTAATTATATAGTTTTAATTTTAATTAAAAAGTAAAATTATATAGTTTTAATTTTAATTAAAAATTACTTCGCGAGTACTAAAAATTAATAAATAAATAAATAATTGAAAGGTAATAAAAATATTCAAATGAATAAATTTTGATAATATTAATTAAATTCCATTCAATGGTTGGTAAAAGTAATCGTTAATAAAATAATAAAATTAATACGAAAGCCAAAATTAAATACTGGAAAATTATTACTTATAAGTTCACTAACAAATAAAAACAAAGTAAACTAATTAAAATAATAAAATTATGCAAAAATCTAACTATCCACGTCTCACAACTTTTCTCCCTGCTACTAACCCCTCCCTCCTAAGTTTTTCCTTTTTGAATTTTGTTTTTTATTTTTCTTTGCAAACAAAATTCAACCACACCACACCACATGTCACGTTATCGGATGACTCTTCATACAGCTTTTAACAAACTAATCAATAAACACATTCATAGGGGTGCAAATAGGGTGGGCCAATGCTTTAAAAACGGACTAGGAGGATGGCCCGCTTTTGCCTTCGGATCAAGGGTCACCGGTTCAACCATCTGGATTAGATGGGTCAAACCATGCCATGTCATCAAATCTCTATACACACACAAAACTCCTTGGGACACAAGGGTTTTGAAAAGCTACCTAAAATAAATAAATAAAAAAAGATCATCCCAATTGGACATTAGAGTGCAAAATTATGGCCTTCAGAAGTTTGCACATACATTGAATGTGCAACCTACAACCTGGTGACCAGGTCAAACGGATCAATAGTTGAACCACCTTGGTCAAAAAGTTTTTGACCAAGTCAACATTTTTTACTAAACAACGGGTTTCAACAGAATCAAACTCTGAATCAAGGCCGGGTGACGATTTGAACTGTTCAATCAACCAGGTCAATGGCGAGTTGAAAACATGGGGGGGGGGATTAGACCGGGTTTTATCTCAATGCAAGCCCAACCCTAAGAATTGGGCCTAAAGCCCAAGCCCAACTTGAGCCTAAGGTAGAGATTGAACCATCAAAATTTGAGCCCAGCCCACACTAAAATTTAATGCACTAAGGTTGGGCTTGGGCATGGACCTGGCTTGAGTAGGTCAATCAGTCCACACTAAAAATTGATATATATATATAATCGGGTTGAGCTCGGGTTGGGCTTGGACAAAGCCCTGTCTAAGAGCTAGGACAAAGCCCTGTCTAAAAAATTACAAAGCCCAAACTTTTTGGCCCAAGCCTAGCTCAAGGAATGAAAATCCAAGCCTAGCTCATGTAAAATTGCAAACTAAGTTGGTATGGGCCCTCCTAAATTGCACTTATATACATTCCTTCCTTTCTGTCTCACTAGAATGGGCCATTCTTTCCTTGATGTGTAGAGATTTCTTTCCAGTCTTCAACCGTTCTATTTTCTCTTCCTGCTTGATGTTTTCTATTCCATCACATAACTTCTTCCAAATTGAATTTTGCCTGCATATCTTTGTTTTTGGTAAGCAAACACATGGTTTCATCCCTACATAGCTCTTTCAATGTGCATAAACAATCTAGAAACTGAATGCCATTACTAAACATTTTGAAGTCCCTACTTAACTCTTCTTTTAGGTCTTTGTTGAAGGAGGCAAAATCAGGTCATAGGTGACCCAAATCAATCACTTGCTTAAGGGTCAATCTGACATGTCAAGAAAAAAAAAAACCGTATATATGTTTACATTAGACTGAAACCCGAAGAAGAGGAGAAGCATGGCCGGTGGTGATGGTGGTGTTGCATCAATAGAAGAAGAAGGAGGAGGAGGAGGGAAAAGAGAGGGGGTGTTGCTTTGGTTTGGGTTGCAGTGGAAGGAGAGGGAAAAAAAAAAGAAGGGGACTTGTGACCGTTGTTCATTGCTGCGTTGGAGGAAGATGATTAATGGGTTCGACTATGATATGGAAAAGATATGATATCTATAATATTTTGACCATTCAACTGGAATAAAAAAGGTGGTAGCCAATCACGTATTATTCATCAAATTCATGTGTGAAATTTGATTGATCAAAACCCATATTGAAATCTTAGTATGATGAAGGGTTAAATGGGGGATATCTGTATTGAAATTTTGTGGTAAGGTGTTTATAGGTATTTAGGGCTCTTTAAAATCCCATTAACTCTTATTTGCAATTTGATTAAAAAAATCCCGTGCAACACAGAGAGTAGTAGTGCATAATCTTACCTAGTTCAAGAAAATATTAATGGATCTAATCATTGAATTGATTACAAGTTTACCAGTATCATATGTGCACTCGAAAAATAACATAAAAAGACAGCTTATAACCCCTCTCAATGGTGTGAGCAGTGATGACCTCCCTTTGTTAGCAATGTTTTAAAAACTGATGGGGAACTAGAATCGCTTTGGCCACTAATTGGTCAACGGTTTGACCATCCAATCTGAATGGATCAATTTGTGATAATTTAAAAGTTTTAAAACTAAAAAATTTATTAAAATAAAAATAATCTTGAAAACTGTTGTCCAGGTCAAACAAGACAGAGGTTTGATCATTCAGCCAGCGGGTCACTGACCAATTCAATGGTTTTTTGCAAAAAATGGTTTTGGGGTTGAAATGGAACCAATATCTTGGTTGTTTTTTGGGGCCGAATGGTCTGACCATATGGGTCAATTACAAGAAGACTGGATCAAATTAATGAGAATAAGAAAGTTCTATACAAATAACTATGAGCACACAAATAGGGGTGTCAACCGACCGGTTTTGGTTTGGATCCAATCTAATCCAAACCTTATCAAATCGAATTTGGACGGTCCATTATAATTATTCGATTGGGCTAATCCAAAATAATTTAGTCCATATTCTTATTGGTTTGAAATGGACCTAAACCAAATATCCAATAACCGGTAACCCGATCATGAGGCCAAACCTTGACCAATTTGAAATCAGTCAAAACTGAAGCTAGCATAAATCACTTTTATGAAAGTACTTTTACGAAAACACTTTTATAAAAGTAATTTTATGAAAAATATATTTAAGAAAGCACTTTTATAAAGATACTTTTACGAAAGCACTTTTACATAGGTACTTTTATGAAAGCACTTTTATAGAAATAGTTTTATAAAAGCACTTTAATAAAAGCATTTTTACAAAAATACTTTTATTAAAGCACTTTTATGGAAGCACTTGAAAGAAATTTTACGAAAGAACTTTTATAAAAATACTTTTACGAAAGCATTTTTATAGAAGTACTTTTACGAAAGCATTTTTACAAAAGCACTTTTATGAAGCACTTTTATGGAAATACATTTATAAAAGCACTTTTACGAAAGTACTTTTAATCCATTTACATTTTAATGGATTGGATTGGATTTGGTTTGTATTGAATTTGGACTGGATTGGGTCCAATCCATTTGTAAATGAACTCACATTGGATTGGATTGGGTCAGACCAAACCCAGTCCAATTGGCACCTCTACGTACAAGTACAATAATCTATTACCACTTTGAATAGTTATGGTTGGGATGCAACTTGGGTAGGCCTAACCTAAGTCCACCCTAACCCAATCCTGAGTTTTTGCATGAGTTGGACCTAGGGATGACAATTTCCCCCATAAAACCAGACCCCTTGCCCTCCCCCGAACAGGGCAAGTTTTCCCTAATCTTAAACGGGGACTAGGTAGGGACAGAAAAAATATTTTTTGCCCCGAATTCGGGACAAGGTTTGCATATAATTCCCCAAACCCACCCCCAACCTAATGGTAAATTAATAAAATATCTATAGATTTAATATTGATTTTTAAAATATCTCTAAGTTTTCCCAAATTTTTAAAAATCATATGATCCCATAATTCAATTTGTAAAATACCACCAATTTGTCATAATTCAATTCCTAAATGACTCCCAAATTCTCATAATCCTATTTGCAAAATGATTCCAAACCACAATCCTCCTTTTCGTATTGAGCATGCATGGTTTACAAATGATTCCTTTAAGGAGGTGATGAAGGAGGCTTGGTAAGTATCTTCATCGTCTTCAACTATTTCTCTGGTTTGTAATGCTTCTAAAGCTTTGTCATCTCTCACCAAGTCTTGGAATATGAATGTTTTTGGTAATGTTTTCAGAAGGAAAAGACATAGTTTGAAAAGAATTGAGGGAATCCAAAAATTTTTGGAAACAAGGCCTTCTCATTTCCTCAATGATCTTCAATTTTCTCTCCATAAGGAATACTTCAACATCCTTAAACAGGAGGAAATTCTATGGAGCCAAAAAGCCAGATTTAATTGGCTAAAAAATGGTGATTCAAACACCAGATTCTTTCATACTATGGCTCTTGAGAGGGGTCAGTCAAAAAAGATTTTGGCCCTTAAAGAAAATAATGTGTGGATTATTGATAATGATGAGCTAAAAAATATGTGCAGAAATCACTTTATTAGTTTATACTCATCATCTTCAGTCAATTGAAATCATAACCTTGATCCTTGTTTTGGTGGTGTTCATAACAATATTGATCAATGGTTCACCCCAGTCACAGAACAATAAATTAGAAGCATTGTTTGGAGTTTGCCAAACAATAAAAGCCTGGGTCTTGATGGCATTACTTCTGAATTTATCAAAAATCATTGGGACATTGTGGGCCCATCTTTTACTGATGCAATCTTTGAATGCATTGACAACTTTGAAATTCCAGACTATTTTAACCAATCCCACATTGTTTTAATTCCAAAAGTGAAATGCCCTGAAACAATGAATCAATTCCGTCTTATTGGTCTTTGTAACACTATTTACAAGGTAATTGCGAAGCTTATTGTGGCTAGACTCAAACCTCTCTTGCCAAAATTCATTTCCCCAAACTAGTCTAGCTTTGTCCCCGGCCGACATTTAAAGGATAATGTGATCATTTTACAAGAAGTTCTCCATTCTTTCAAAAGGAAAAGTGGTAAGGAAGGTTTTGTTGGAATTAAAATTGACATTGAAAAAGCTTATGATAAGCTTGATTAGTCATTTATTAAAAAGTCTCTTGATTTCATTAAAATTCCTAAGAGATGGGTTAATTTGATCATGAGTTGTATTACCACCCCTAATTTTAGCATTATTTTTAACGGTTAAACTTGAACCATTTAAACCAACAAGGGGACCCCCTCTCCCCCTACATTTTCCTAATTTGTCTAGAAACTCTTTCGGGTATGCTTAATAAAGTTGTGGCTAATGGTGAGATAAAGCCATTTAAATTCTCTAGAACAGACCCCGAGTTATCTCACATCTTCTATGCAGATGACTTGATTATTTTTCTAAAAGCCTCCATTACTCAGCTTAATTGTGTGAGAAATATCTTGGATAATTTTTTGTAATGCTTCTGGAGAAACAATTAACTATAATAAATCTATCTTATTCACATCAAGGAATGTTCCCCATAAACACACTTGAATGTTGGCCAGAAATATTAGGGTTAGGGCTTCTAACAACCTTGATAAATATCTTGGGCTCCCCGTTTTTAGTGGCAAGGTTACTAAGCATACCTTCCATTATGTGGTCGACCATGTTCAAACCAAATTAGCAGGATGAAAGGCAAATACTCTTAGTCTTGCTGGTAGGTTAACCATTCTCCAATCTACTTTATCCTCAATTCCCCTCCATGCCATGCAAATTTTTTGTTTACCCTCAAGCACCTGCCAAAATGCAAATAAAGCTAGAAGAATTTTTTTGTTTGGAAGTTCTCTTGATCATAGGAAATTGCATCTCATTAAATGTGAGAAGATTCTAACTCCTAAGCATGTTGGAGGGCTTGGAATTAGGGACCTTCACTCCTTAAATCTTGCTCTTCTCACTAAATTAGCGTGGCACCTCTACTGTAACCAAGATAGTTTGTAGTCCAAAGTCCTAATTAGTAAATATGGTAGGGGAACTGATGTTCTGGACCCATGCGTAAAAGGTCATGACTCTTGGATTTGGAAGGGAATAGCTAAAGGTTGTAAATTTCTTTGGGAGGTACTCATACGTGCTTCTGGTGATTGGGATGACCCATGGGTTACTAGGACTACCTGTAGGCAGAATCGATTGGATGGGCCTCTCCCAAATGTTAATTTGAGGAGTGTTAAAGACTGTATAACTGCTTCTGGTGATTGGGACATCAACCTGATTTGTTATCTCTTGCCAAGTGATATGGTTGAAAAAATCATGGCAATCCCTTTAAATTTAGGGTCACAAAAGAATGATCATTGGATATGGCCCAACACTAAAGATGATAATGTTTCAACTAAATCAGCTTGTACAATTATTAGAAAAGAAAATGATCTCCCTAAAGCTCAAGCTTTTAATCTGATTTGGAAATCTCCATGTCAACCAAGGGTGAAAACTCCTCACTCGCGATGCTCTAATAAAGAGAAATATTCAAGTTCCTAGTCAATGACCCTTGTGTAATGAAAGCATGGAAACGATTGATCATTTGTTTATGGATTGTAGGTTCTGTAAGGAAGGCCAATAAATGTGCTGATTTTATGGCTAATTTAGCTTGGAGCACTAAGGTTCGATATAGGGAATTCCTTATACCTCCTAGAGAGCTTAGCTTTCTTCTAATTGCTGATGTTATGGGGGGTAGTCACCCCTTGTTTAATTTTGGTTTCTGTGCTATGTTTTTTAGGCCATGTCGGATGAATAAAAAAAATAATGCTCCAATGCTGGTATGTTTTACACATAAAATGATAGTTTGTGTATATCCTAATCTGATAAAAAAGAAAATAAAAAGGCCTCATTTCCGATGACTCCTGAGGATGGATGGCGGACCCACGGATTCTGATCAGTGTTACTTTGAAATTTCACTTAGAAGGAAAAGCAACCAGCATTTATTCATGGTTTTATTCATTTGGTCTTTGGAAGTAAGAAGTTTAAAGGTTTTGAGCTGAGCAAAACACTGAAAAAGTGTTAGAAGTGCAAGCTAATTCTTCTTTAGATTAGAAATCTATGGTCTATGTTTGTAGGCATCATCCTTCCACCACGAATAAAAATAGGATTTCTTTTGCAAATGAGTTGATCTACACTAGATGGGTTGCTAAAATTCTGTTTGTACTTCAATGCCCAACTATAACACCAAAAGAAAATTAATCAAAGTGATTAATTGTTTCGTTAGGCTTTATATATGCCAATGTTGTTTACTCTCTATGTTATCCCACTGACTTATTACCTTATTTTCTATCATATCCTTTGAACTAGCACAGGGCAACACGTGATCCTAGGTTGGATGCATTTCATTCCTATGCTTTTGATCTCAGTTTGTATTGGAAAAGTGCCATTGCCCCCCAAAATACCATGCACTAGAGGAAGGGCTTGAACCTTCGACCTTGTTGTTAACAGACACACGCTCTAACCAACTAAGCTACTCCAACAAGTTGGTATTGTAGTGCTAAATAATATAATTGATTTTTTTTGCAACATTTGCTCAACCAAAATTTCTGTCATCATCATCACCAAGCCTTATCCCAGCTACACGAATCTTGTTTTGCCAAATAGTTCTCTTTTGTGCCATGTCCATTATTGTTAAGGTTGTTCAACCAATTTAATCAAAAGAAAGTAAAGGAAAATGTCAAATTTGCCCTAGGTTCTTTTTAGAAGGTTGATATGAGAGTAGGGTTGTCAACGTGTCACATTCAAGTAGAACTAATCCTAAACCAGTTATTAATCAAGAAAATATCACAGACCCAAAATCATCCCAATTAATAGTCGGGTCTATTAGGTTTGGAATAGTTTTTTGGCGTTGGGTTGGGGCACGCTAGGGTTGGTCTAGGGCCAATCGAGCTCTCAACCAAAGCCCAAACCATGTTTAGTCTAGGCCAAGTTTTTTGGCCCCCAGGCCCAACTTGTAGCTTGAAAATGTAGGCCCAACTAGGAATGGCAACAGTGCGGGGCACTCACTCCCCATCGGGGATGGGGAATCTCCAAATTTTTCCACCCTGAAGCAACCATATTATATAAATATATTTATAATATTATATTATAAATAATAAATGATATATAATATATGTATATATTTATATATAATAGATAGAAAACATGTTACATATATTTAAAATATATAAAATATACATATAAATATATATATATACTGGTCGATTTGGTTAACTGTTAGTTTTTTCTAGTGCAATCGAAAACTAAACTAGACTTTCGGTTTTTTAAAATACCAAATCGAAACCGAACTGATCGGTTCAATTAATCGCATTTTCGATTTTGTTTTCTCAATTCGGTTTTTCATGGACACCCCTACTGGTAGGTCGGTTCAGAAGTGGAACCTAACTGGCATTTCAGTTAGGCCATTTTCATAAACTGAACCAAATTTAGATCAGTTAATTTGGTTAGTTAAAATATCAATGTATTTTATATATATTCATGTTAATAATTATTAGTAAAACATATTAATATTTATAATTAAAATACATATCATATAGTATTATTGATATAAATAGCAATGGTAATATTAATATTAATATTTATAACTAAAAAGTCTAAAATATAAAATATATGTATTTATTTTGGTTAATTTAGTTTTAAATTTGATTTGATTCGGTTGAATTTTTCTCAAACCGGACAAAAAAAAATGAAAACCAAATTTTTTAAAACCATAAAACTGAAACAAAAACTAGAGACGAATTTTGGTTTAGTTTGATTCAATTTTCGATTTTCTAATCGAATTTGAACACCCCCATCCCCTACCTGATTCCCATCGGGGATAAAAGTTATCCACCATCTCCAATCCCTGATGGAGACGGATTCCCCATAGGAACTCGAATCCCCAAAAATTGTTAATCAAAAGTATTTTTGAAAAATAATTTACTTAAAATAAAAGAAAATTTTAAAATATAAATAATATTGTAAGTATATTTTGATATATATATATATATATATATATATATATATATACATACATATGTATATGAATAAAGTTTAGGATAAAGACTTAAATATACTAAAAGTTTCATTTAGATTATATGTAATGTTATCTCACCAATTTAAAATTTAAAAGAAAAATCCTATTTTGCCCTTTTTTCTTGATATGAAGCGAATCATTTGTACATTGACAGTTATTCATCGACAGTTATTCTTGAATTGAAAAATACTAAAAGTTGTACATCGACCAGGGATAAGAACTGGTCAAAAGCCAAAACCACCAGACAGGTTAACTAATAGTATGGGTTTGGAGAAATTGGGAATATTGGTGATGTAAAGTACAACCAATGTTCTCGATGTGTAGAGTGGCCAGCAATGTGTTATGCTCAACAGATCCAAACTCTCAATCTGTCCAGTTTCCATTCTTAGGTGATGCAAAATGCAGTTGAACAAATGATATAGATCAATTATTTTATCTAATACCCATGGTTTATCTTGCTGGAGTAGCTCAGTTGGTTAGAGCGTGTGGCTGTTAACTACAAGGTCGAAGGTTCAAGCCCTTCTTCTAGCGGCTTTTTCTCAAAAAACTTTTTCCAGTTTAATCATACATTTAGTATTTATGTAGAATAATGTTGTAAAGTGGTTCCATGGTCTAGTGGTTAGGACATTGGACTCTGAATCCAGTAACCCGAGTTCAAATCTCGGTGGGACCTAATTTTCCTTTTGCCTTCGTTGCTTACTGTAATTCTTTTAATCTATCAACATTTCTGCCGTAAGGGTAGGGTTTAAGCTCTTGCCAATTACCATCGTTTTTCGGCTTTTCAGGGTGGATCAAATGGAAGGGTTTTAGGGAACGGTAGTATTCCTCTTCCCCTTCCCCTTCCCCATGGCTTTAACTCCAATCTCTTTTCTTCTCCTTCGGAATTTATCCTCCATAAACCCTAGTGTATCTCATTCTAGAATTAACTCTCTCATCAGAACTAGTAGACCTTTCTGGTTCTCTCGCTGTGGCAACCTTGTGCCCTTCTCAATAGCTCGGTCCTCTCTCCTGCAAACCGAAACAGAACCCCCTAAGGTTTCAGACCCCAGAACAAGCCTCTCAGATCGTATGCGCTTCGTATTTGATCAAATAGACGCCATTGAGAAGGAGAGAAGCAACAAGGACGAGGCTTTGCAAAGGATTCGCGCCTGGAGGGAAGCAAAGAAGAAAAAATCCGAAGAGGAGGCTTCGGGGTTAAGGGGCCCAGGTGCTGTTGAATCGAGCCCGGCTTTAGATACGGAAGTGGAGGTCAAGAAGAAGGATAACCTGTTCAATAAAGAAGTTGAGTTTGTTCATCCTTGGCCTGAATGGATTGAGTTCATGGAGCGGTTGGTTCAACAGAATTATTTCGATCATCGGAGGAGGGATGAGAATAAAATCATCCAGGGCCTGTCCATTGATGTGCCAGAGTTCGTTGAGGAAGGATTTGATTTTACCAGGGATTGGTTTGCTGTTCGCACCGCCTGTCTCAACTTTGGGCGTGACCGCTTTGATATCTTGAGGTTTTGCCTTACCATATGCAGTGATTATTGATATTCTTTACCTGTGGTTTCTATTACTGAATGAAGTTGCTTTGGCTTTTGACCACGGTTTTAACTTTCACTGAGGCCTACACAAGTTTGATATTTTTACTAAGAAAGCTCTTGGAGTGTAAGCTTGGTGAACAGCAAGAGACATTAGGCTGCAAAACACCTGAGAGCTAAACAAAAGTTTGATTTTCAATCAGTTTAATGGATAATTTTCTCATTGTTATATATTTCAGGTCGTTGTCAAGGCAGGATATTCAAATTCTAGTTGGGTATGGATGCCCTAATGTGGACACCAAAGTGGTGTTCTCTGCAAAGATATTGAGGAAGCATGTACACCTTGATGAAGGAGATGTATGTATTACATGATTAATTTTAGAAGTTCTTAACTGCCTTTATTTACTGTGTAATATGAATCTTTGGAGATGGTGCTGCATGTTGCATTATCTGTTTCTTCAGCAACTTTACGGTCCTGCATCAATTGCATTAATGAAACCTTCATTCTCAAGTACTGCTTAGATTTAATTAGTCTGGCCCTTTGGGGTAATGATACAATACTTAAATTGCATATCTTGCTTATAATCCTAGCGTCCTACATTATATGATATATCAATGGTAGACAAACTGAGTACTATTATCTTTGTAGAAAATTCATGTTATCAAATCCAGAATATTGTTTTCTGAAATATGAGCTAATAGAAGAATGCAGATTTGGGAATATTAAGCACTTGTTCTTCCAAACCTGAAGGGACCCCCAACCAAGATGTCCTCTACAGACATTGTGCAGATAGATTTTGGCAAGAGGATTCAGGGTCTTGGTGAATTCCTGCAGAATAAGAGACATCTAACACATCATTAGACAGTTCCTAAATGAAAGATAACAATAATAAAGGTAAAGGGAAAAGGCATTCCCCAATTCCTCATTATGCATGGATGCAACTTTAAAATAGTTGTGTTATGGAAAAGGGGGCAAATATCTCTCAGTCAGTCCAGTTAACTCTTCTCTGCTATTTTTTGTTGATTTCAATTTTCAATTAGCTTTAGATTTCTTTATTCTTTAACAAGGACTTAAGGATATAGAGAAGGGGAGAAAGATAGAAGCAAAAACTAAACCTGGAATTTGGTGTAAATCACATGAGTCGGAATTTTATAGATGTATTATTGTTAATTAGAAAGTAGGTAGCTGGCCCAAAACCATGCCTAGGTGGTAAGTGGGTTCTAGTCACCTAGTTTAATTATGTGTGGAGGTAAGGCCTGAGCCCCCAGGAATACATCAACTACTAGGTGTCTACAATAGGTGCCTGAGCAATCTTCCTTAACAGCAGTATAATGTTACCATGGTTTTGTTCATTGTATTTGACACATAATTAAATAAATAAGTAAATGAAGTTACAAAATAATGGTATCTCCACTATTGTAGGAATCCATTATATGGTAATAATACAAGCATAAACCAGAATGCAAGAGACATAAGCCTCCCAAGCATGTATTTTTAATAAATAAATAACTAAAAAATATGATAAAATAAATAAAAATAATATCCCATAAAAATAGGAAAGTTTATGAGGAATTAGAATTTTTCATTTGTAATTCCCAATAATAAAACCATCACATTAAACAGAGAATTGAAGTATCTTCATCCATAATTATATATCATCATTCATCAATATTCACTTCTAAGGTTTCCTTATTTATGTAACTTCTGGGGTTATAACACATTGTTTTACCATTGGTCATCTATCCAATTTCAGGTCTGTAGTTCATGCAGTCTCAGAAGCTCATGTGACAGAGCATATTTGTTAACACAGAAGGAGGATGAGGCTAGGACTCTTGATGTTATCCGCATCCTATTGGCATTTGGTTTTGATCATGTCAAAGAATCAGTTCAGAACAAAGCTCTTTTAAAATTGAAATCTGTGAAAAGAGTAGTACGTAAGTTGCTTCATGAAGTTGTGAAGTTGAGTGCAATTCCAATAGACCCAAATCTTCCACCACCAGTAATAAAAAAGGCCCCACCAAAGGTGAAGCAACCACCACCTCCTCCAAAGAAACGAGTAGGGCGTGATGACATTGAAATGAAGAAAGGAGATTGGCTCTGTCCTAAGTAGGTTTCATTTTTAGTATTCATAATGGCTTATGGCCTAATTTAAGTAGAAAATGTGTAGACTGAGTACTCATAATAGCAATTTCACAATGATACATGCTGCCACATGTGGTATGTGGAAGGAGTAGAACTCATTTTTTATATGCTCCTTCTCCCACTAACAATTTGTTTGGTATGAACGGCTTAAACATCTACTCTCCATATTTCTGGTCCATTCACCATTTTGTCCATTCAAATCTTGTGAGATCAGGTGGTTATGGTCATCTAAAATGGTTAAACTTTACCATGTCTTTGTTTGGACATATTGAATTGTGGTCTCACTGCAATGCATGTGTATCATGTAAAATCATGTTTGCGCTATCTGTACTTCAGTTTTCTTTTATAATTTGCTAGTAATGAGGGTGAGCATTATTTGCAGGTGTGATTTCATGAATTTTGCAAAGAACACTGTGTGCTTACAATGTGATGCCAAGAGGCCAAAGAGACAATTACTTCCTGGAGAATGGGAGTGTCCTGAGTACTTTCTCTCTCTCTCTCTCTCTCTCTATATATATATATATATTTCTATCTCTCTATCTATGCGTTCTTTGATTTGATCATATTTCTCCTATCATTCTGCAGATGCAACTTCTTGAATTATAGGCGGAACATGGCATGCTTTCATTGTGATCACAAACGCCCACCTGATGAATATATGGAAAACCAAATGCAATCAAGGACACATGGTCAATCTTCGAGGTTACAAAGGGTTGCCAGCAAGTCCGAGATTTCAAATGCCTGGAATTTTGATTTTGATGATAATGAATCTGATGGTGCAGATGTTGCTGCTTTTGAGTTTGCAGATCCTCCCAAAATGGGTGAAGAGTCTTCTTTTGATGCCCATGCTCCAGGAGGAACTCCAAGGGGATTTGTAGATGATTCCTTTGAGACCAGCAGGGTCCCAAGAACCAATGAAAGAGGATATCCGGATGCTAGTGAAAGGAAGTCAAGTATGGGGTTTGATGACTTTGATGATGAAGAAGATGATATTGATTCTTATGAGCTAGACACACAAACTAACAGTTCAATACAAGCTGCTTCGTCTAAAGATTTCTCAGATGTTGATGGTTACTCCATCTCTGAAGATTTGGACATCCCTGACATTTCCCATGCTCGTCAAGCAATTAGTTCCTCTTCATACAATAACACATCAAGGCTGAGACCAGGAAACTATTCTTCTGAATCTGAGGATAGTGAACAATGTTTTGATTCAGATGAAGAACTTTCAGCCCACCGTGAACGGAAATTTAGTCATATTGCAGATTCTAGACGGAGAAATAAGGGCAGAGATGCAGGTGGCCCGTACAGGGGAATCACCTTCGGTTCAGATGTTGATGAACTAGATTCTGGTACTGATGGTGATGAATATGACAATGATGGCTATGATGATGTAGACAAGCGATTTGGCTCCAGGAGTAAAAGTAATAAATGGGATCTATATAGAAGGGATATTGGGAGAGGAGGTTCTGAATCTGATGGTGAGAATATACAGTCTCGTTTTAATAAGAAAGGGACCGCTGATAGAAGGGGAAACACTTACCGAAGTCACCCACGTTTTGATTCCAGAGGTGATGTACAATTTAGATCCAACAGTAGAATGTTTGGCAGGAGGGACTCTTTTGGCAAATCTAATATTGATAGAACATATCAAGGTTCTCGCAGGACTGAGAGAGGATCTCAGAGAGGTGACTTCAGTGGACAAAGAGTGAATGATAGAGGAGGCAATTTGTGGAATTATGGAAGGAGGGACTCTTTTGGAAAATCTAATCTTGATAGAACATATCAAGGTTCTCGCAGGACTGAGAGAGGATCTCAGAGAGGTGACTTCAGTGGACAAAGAGTGAATAATAGAGGAGGCAATTTGTGGAATTATGGAAATCGTGGAAATGACAAACGGTTTAGGCATCAGCAATGGGGGAAATACAATGAATTCAATAACCCATCAGACGTGTATAGAGACTTTGATAATAATAATAGACCAAGGAGGCGCATAATTGAGAGATGAGATCATGGAAGAGCATGATTTCTAAATAGGCTGGAATCCGGGTTCTTACACAATTCATGGTCATTCGAAATGGTTGGCAAGGCAAAATGACTTGGTTTAACTTGCAGAAATCTGACAAAATTCAATTGTTGTCTTCCTATGTGAATACACGGGATCAGTAGAAGATGCTGGGAATTGTCACTGAGCCATTGTATTTATACACAGTTTTCTATTTATTGTCATTTCATGAGGCATGTCAAATGCATATTTTGAGGGAAATTTGCTTTTTTTTTCTTCTGCAATGGGTTTATGTTCAAGTTTCTCTGGTTAGAACTTAAAGGCATGCTTTTTTTATTTTGGTCAAGATTTCTCACAAATAGTATCACTAATTCACTTTGAGTGGTCTACATGTTCACGTTTGTGTTGCGCGGGCAAGGTGGATCCATTGCATGTTGGACGCACCAAGTTTCAAAATATTGGGCGTATCAGCCTGTATCCAGGTTTGCTTTTAATATTTTTTTGGGTAATTGTCCAAAACCCACCATCACTTTTTTCTGAAATCTTATAAACCCACCACAATTTTTCAAAATGTCTAAAATTCACCATGTCAGTGAGATTTTATTTTCTAAAAATCACCATCCATTACAACACCGTTAAAGTTGAATCACCCAAGTTGTCCACATCAACCTAAATGCATATTTCATGACTGAACTGCCCCTAAATGCATGTTTCTGGAAAAATGGTACCAAACACCCACTAAGGTTATGTTTAGGTGAAAGTTAGAAAAAAAATAAAGTGTTAACCCTATTTAGTATTTGTTAGAGTGACGTCTCTTTGGCACAAAGAGGTGAGCCAGACATATATACCTCCATTTACTTATCAGCTACAGCGAGATGAACTGTATTCCCATCATCATCCCTCGGGTTTACAAAATCGTCATCATCCACTGGCTCCAACAACAACTTCAATGCCTCCAGGCAGTCATACTTCACACAGGTGTAGAATGGTCCCTCCATGATCCAATTGTAGTCGAGCTGCTTCTGGTTTTGCTTCAACCAATTCTTTCAGGACTTCAACTCGGCCTTTCATTGATGCTAGATGAAGCGGGGTATTCCCATCCTTCTCACGAACGAAGCAAGTGTTGGGGCCAACCAACAACTCTTTCACAATATCAACATACCCTGTGTTTGGCTGATGCCAAGTGAAGAGGTGACTGCCGTCTTCTTAAGTCAGCTTCGAGAGCAAGCTCCAGCTTGCACCATAGAAGCTCTCACACAAAATTGAGGTGACCGAGCAACACTGCTACGTGCAAAGGAGTCTCGCTGACGCAAGATACAATCACCCTATCGAAAATAAGCAGGTCTTCTCGAAGCAATTCAAGGAAGATACACTCTCTTCCGAAGCTTCTGCATGAAAACGTTTCTCCACTCTCTCTCTCTCTGCAGATCAATCGCTTACTAATTGCAGGATATAAATTCGCCTCCTCAGCCCTCCCCTTGATAAATAATGTTGGGAGAAAGAGTCAAGTCGTCGAGTCAGAATCTGGTCTTTTATTCTATCAAATCTCCCTTCAAAATTCCGATAGCCATTGGCGACCTCTCCCACCTCTTGGCCCTTGCATTCTATGACATCCCCAACCTGGCTGCCTCCATCCCTTCATCATTCACAAAGCTTCAGAATCTGGTATCCCTCACCATTGGTAACACCACTCTATCCAGCCCCATCCCAGAGTTCCTCAGCCAAACTCAAAAATCTCCGAGAGCTGGAGTTGCCCTACAATCAGCTTTTCGGCTCCATCCCACCTTCCCTCGTCAACCTCAATGAACTGAAGCTTCTTAGCCTCGGATGGAACAGACTCACCGGAAACATACCCAACTCGTTTGGGGGATTCAATGCACAGACATGATGGGTGGTTTCTCCATGTTTCTGTCTCACAACCAGCTCTCTGGTGAGATACCCAAATCTTTGGGACAATTTAACGTGTCGAGAATCGATCTGTCGTATAACAATCTCGTCGGGGACACATCTATTTTGTTCAGGGAGAATGAGAGAAGCAACGCCGGTGAGAAGTTGCAGACTGTACTCCGACTGCTCTTCTTCTCAAACGATGGGAACAATCTTCATGAGGATCTGACCGTTCTTCTTCTCAGACGAAGGTATGAGAGAAGCAGTGAACGACCGATGAGAAGTTGCATACTGTTCTTCTCAGATGCATCTTGTTCTTCTTCAAGTTCTCAAACGAAGGGAAAGCAGTGGCCGGTGAAGGGTAAAATGGTAAATTAATGATGCCCGTAGTCAAGTTACCGTTATCTCACTGACATGGTGAGTTTTTGACGTTTTGAAAAGTTGTGGTGGGTTTAAGAGAATTCAAAAAAAGTGATGGTGGGTTTTAGACAATTTCCCTTTTTTTAGTTGAATTTTTTCAAAAGGGGTTGGTTCAAGGCCCATCTACCCCTATCAGGTAAGGGTGTATGAGGAGGCCACTGATATGATATCTATTGGATGATATTTTGAACCTTGGGATGCACAAGGAATAACCCTTTGTTGAAAATTTAAGGGTCTGTTTGATTTGTAATCGGAATCAATATGAAATCCCTTTGGAATAGTCTATTCCCCCACCTGTTTGGTTTAGACTGGAATCAGAAATTCAGAATCAGGTTCCATAATATTAAGATACATGCATGATTGGGAAGAAGGGTTGGAATGATTTCATTCCAAGAGGGGGTTGAAATGCCATCTCGCCAAGAATGAGAATCTGTCCAAGGCCCAACCAAGTGATTAGAATCGTAATGGGCCACTCTGATTTCGATTCCAGATCCCTATTCCAACAAACCAAGTCCACTCACAACAGAAATTCCAAATGCTTCTTCTTCTAGGGTTTTAGGTGTGCACAGATTTCATTTGACTCCCTTGACAAATGGAAATTTGGACATTCTTCCGTGGAGCACTTGCGATTTGAAAATTTAAAAGACAATGAAGGGTAAAAACGTCTTACCACATCATATTCCAAGTTCCAACAATGGAGGTTTAATAAGTCCCGTCAGAAACCAGAGAAGAGGTTCACGTATTGATCATAAACCTCAGGGGAGGTTTTGAAATCGTCTTGTTTTTTTTTTTAATTCTTCTTTTGATCGTCATGGACCATGGTGTATGGTTAGAAGTTGGAACAATCGAAGAATCCATAAGTTTGCCTTTAAGCTGAAAGAACATAGAAGTGAGGCATCATTTGCTGTTTGTGTTTTCTTTTACAGTCCAACTAATGGACGGAATACCACTGCTCACAAAACCTCATCAGATACTCAAGAATGTTACCACATTGAACACAGAATTGATTCTCAAAACTATCAATCTGAGATTAGACATGATCACAATATTACATATAAATTCTATACAACTCTTTATACAGACGTATATGGTCATGAAACAGAGTGGCGCCTTCGCTTCTGAAATAGAAATCGAGCTTCTGAATTAGCCCTGGACCCAATTGGTTTTACATCTCTTATCCGGAATAGGGCATTGAGCTTGCTTAATTTTTTGGCGAGAGATTTGAGCATCTTATTAGCAGGATTTGATCGAATGAGCTCCTGTTTCATAGAGACATGGTCCTTCTCCAGATCAGTTAGCCTCATTCTCATCCGTGCTACTTCAAGCTTTAGCTCCCTGTTCTCTCTTCTCACAGAAGCATAGTTATCTCTTGGAGATATGGCCCCACTACCGGCACCACTGCTTGAACGTTGAGGGAATTGGGTATTGGTTGAACCAAAGAATAATTGATTGTGACCTCCATTCATTGCATTCCGAAGCCTTATCTGCTCAAAATACAGCACTTGCACAGCCATTTGCACAGGCAGCCTTTCGTTCTGGGCTGCGTGGCTGCAGGCTTCATGAGATAATTTTTGACAATCAATGGTTTTGCAGAGTCGGTAGCGCTCAGAATCCTTCATGTTGAGATGAACCTGTCAGTAGGACTTTGTCTGAGAAAAAAAAGGAAGAAAAACAAAAGAAAGTTGTATACATGTAAATGTAAACAAAGTTAATATGTATGGTTGGAGAAGAGTTGTGAGAATTTGGGTCTTGCCTTGAGAAAGATATCAACAGCTCTGTATAACCCATCATTCATGATACGAGCATGATCCGGAAGTAATTCTGCTAGAGCAATGAACTTTGATGGCATCAAGTTTGGATCTAGTGCAATTTCTGCAAGATAATTGTCCAAAAGCTTTGACACCTTAAGAATTGAGCTTTGTTTAGGAGATCTAGGGCTGTCAAAGTCATAAACCATTTCACTTTCGTCCCTCGAGTTCTCCTCCTCCTCATCTTCATCCAAGTTCAGGAAGATGGAGAAGATTCTCAATATTGTTTCTGTGTCATACAGTGAATGATGATTGTTGCCATGTGAGTTTGCTGGTATGAGGATATCTTCAAGAATTGCTTGGTCTAGCTGTAGTCCCATCCTCCTCTCTAAATCAGCTATGCAAGCAGTAGAAGCTGACCCAATTATTGCAGTTTTCAACAGGCTGGAAAGAAAAGCCATTGGTACTGAACTCTTTCTTGACTGGGTTGGTAGCAAACCTACGATTGCTTCTATAATCACTCTCTGTTTCTTCTGCAATTCTGAATCTAGTATGCTTCCTTTAATCAATTGAGGGTCTTTGACTATGATACCTTGAAGAGAGTTATGTGCATAGTTTATCAAGATCTTGCTGATCATATCCTGTTTCAGGCCTTTCGATTTTACTGCAGATAGAACACGTTGGAAGAAATCTAGATTAAGCTTGGCAAGTGCTTTTCCCCACCAGTCTGATGGTGTCTCTGGTTCTATGTTTGTGATGGGTTTGGCAGCAAAGTTCTGCTCTAATTTAGATAAGCCAGATGTTAGCTGCTCTTTACAGGCATTAGATGCAATCCCATTGATAATCCTGCTGACCAAGTTGATCTCTTCTGCTATGGGAAGGAGAGTTTCACAGTGGTGAAGAACAGATATGGAGTTTGAGATGTTCGAGATCACCATCTCCTTGATATATATTTCCGTTCGGTATTCCAAGTTTTTCTCAGAAAACTCCTCTGTCATTTCCAGGTAATGAGCTGCACATCGTAGCATGGCGACATTTGATAGTGTGATCTCTATGTTCACACCATAACAAAATTTTGCAGCTAGCTCAAATGCCTCTGATCCACCTGGAACAGATGGAAGATTTATCCTTGAAACTTTGGAATCCTTTGCTTCCAACAAAAGTTTCCGAATCTTTCCACTCCGAGAAACCAGAGGGAACTGCAAAAGAACCATAGAACACAAGGAGTGATTATGCTTCAGTGAGGAAACTAAAGCAATTGAATTCCAAGCCAAGCTTGTTTTCCAACATAAAGACAGAGAGAGAAAAAAATCCTTCATTACTGTTCTCGAAAAAGAAAACCTGGAAAATAGAACACAAGGAGTGATTATTATCTGTAATCCTAACAACAGAACTCTTACCTTGTGAATTGGAAAAGTTACTGCTCCTACTTCAACAATAAGATCACTAGAAACGTCAGAAATCGGCCTGCAATGACATACACTGTTAAATTTCCATCACCACACCAATGGAAAAGAATAAACAATCTGGAAGACAATAGGCTACATATTTTACTGATAAAGAAACATAGCATACATATTTGTTAATGCAAATAATTCAACAGCTGTGTAGAAAACCAATGATGTCAACTGCAACCACAATGTTTTGAAACCATAAGCTCCAAAAATATTGAGGCCAGTGACATGTGGAATTTGAACAATTGATCAATCAAAATAATGTAAAATGTGATCTATTAGGATTTTATGATTCAACATAGTCGGCCCAGATAAGAAAGCATGTGAATATATCTAAGAACTTTACTCCAAATATGATTTCCACAGAGGGTTAAGTCCAAAAAGGATAAGGTTGAGTCACTGAAGGTGGAAAGCTCCATTCAAGATTCCAAAAGTTGGAATTGCTTGAAAGTTTTAAAGTCCTTGATGCACCAAATCACATTTAGTTGCAGGGGATGGGACAGACAGGCCATCTGGGTTTCTTTGGTTTTATTCGGAAGCTGTGTTTTGTTTCTGTGTCCTGAATGGTCTACAAAGCTTGTCATAGTCATACAACTGTGTATGCCAACTTTTCAGTACTGTGGGGAGCCCAAACTCAAATTCTTTAGTGCCAGGGTCTAATTTCTTCTAAAAATTTTTCAGGTTTCAGGTTGAGGCCAGGATTAAACCTAACTGTCATGATTCGTCACGTTGCTGTACCTATCAGGAAGATAGGCACTTGGAATCATACCACAAAAATGTTCTTTTGTTCATTTTCAGAGGTACTCAGGTAAAACATTCTGATGGGAAATCAGAGATTTGCAGTACTTCCAGAATTGCATTTTTCATCTTTGGTTTCCCAGATGGCCCTGCCTGTGTTGGATCACAACTTCAGCCTCTGTTTGAAGATTATTCTTTAATAAAGCAGATATGCTGTTACAATTGTTAGGCAAAAACTCATCAGAGTTATGATATATCGATTTTTATAAGTTTCCCCTGATAAACTAGTTATTTGCACAAAAACTTGTTTAGATAATTAATCTTCAGATATTTTGTTGGTTCTACCAACGCAGAAGGAATTATATTTAACTGATTTGGTTAAATAAGTGGCCAAATTAGGCCAAAATGATGGTGATTGAACACACCAAACAAACCCAAGAAACTTTAGCTTCAGTGCTACTGCAGCAGAGTACCCATATCAGAATTTTGTTTTTCCCTTTTCTTTTTCTTAAGTTAAATTTTTAAGACAACCAAGATTTTTATAATCCAAAACCGAAAGTTCAAAGCACTTGCTTGGTCCAAAATCTTTGGTTGCAGCTCCAACCGACCCTTGCATGCAATACAAGGTCGAGACAAAGATTGTAAATTAACAGAATACCAGGCTGACACAAACTTTTAATGAAGATTCAATGGTAGCAATAGTAATGTGAGGACCGAGTTGTTTTGCTTGTACTTTGTTAGTAGTAGTAGTAGTAATGGAGAAGAAGAAGAAGAAGAAGAAGAAGAAGAAGAAGAAGAAGAATACCATTCAGTGGTGTGCCTGGTACTCGAATTTGGACGAAATGACCTCTTCCCAGAAATACTTGGCTTCAATTCACCAACAGTAGCAGAAACCATCTCGTCAAAGACACCCCAATTGAACTCTTAACTCTCAGTAGATGATCTCTACCACCAACCCCACCAGGCAGCAAGCTTCCGTCTCTCTCTCTCTCTCTCCACACACCCCAACTGTATTTTACCGACCGATATTGATAAGAACACATAAAAATTACTTGCAGAGAAAATGAGAGGTTTAGGGACTCTCCTTCCTCCTCCTCCCCCTCTGTATTTTTTTTTTAATATTTTTTGGAAGGTGAAACGTGAAAGCTGGAGTGAGCTGAAAGTTACATGAATCATGCAGTATTAGGGATGAGAGATGTCGTTGTATTGTTCCAAGTTTTTTTTTAATATTTTGTAGAGGCAAGAAAATAGTCATCCTTGCACTTTTCGGTGAAAGTGGGGTGAAATAGCTTTTAATTTGATTTATTTTTTCTGGGTTGCAGGAATCCTGAAAGGCTTGCAGCGCTTTTGGGGTCTGTAATCATGGCTAGTGAAAGCTACCCAAATAAAGTTTGGCTTAAAACCACTCCAAATTATGTCAAAGTTCATTGCAGATGATGGCTTGGTTTATATATAGTAATTGATAATTAATTTAACATGTATTAAAAGTTCCCTGAGAATTTCATTGGTCTGGCTGAAATGGGTTTACTTAGTTTTTGATGTTCAGTAAATTATAAGGCAGGTTCTGCAAAAGAATGTATGCCTGAGTGAAGGAAAGAGATGGATAATGAAGATCAATGGGGGATGTTTGGTGGTGATCAGTGATCAGTGATCACACTGGTAGGGAGTCTAGGGACTAGGGAATCAACTCCCTGTAAGAGGAGTCTTTTGTCATCTGGTAAAAAAGGGTGTAGTGTAGGGGCTGGGATGTGTGCATTGAAGTGTATTAGTAGAAACAGGTGGGAAGCAAAGGCAAAGGGACAGCAATAGTCCAAGGGAGTTTGGAAGGAAGGAGGATGGATATTGAATGATTAGAGCAGGTGAAGAAAAGCTGGTGGCCACAATTATAGTATAGAGAAAACATGTGAGCCCCCTCTCCATTCAACTTCTATACAGACTTGATAGCATATGATGCACCATTATATTGTATGTACCAACAAAACAGTTGACCCCATCAGCACCAGCCCTTTAAAGTCTAAAGTGCACCACGCTAACATTAGCTCTAGCTAGCTGCATGTGGAAGCAGCAACCCTTTGGCTTGGTTGGATGATTCAAGCCAAAGGTTTTTTTTTCCCTCTTTTTGGGGGGTTTAGAGTTTGACAACATGGTTAATACTTGGTTAGTGATTTAAAACAATCCAACTGATACTTAGGTGCCTTTTGGTAAGTCTTTTTACAAAGATATTCCAACCAAGGTTCAAAAAATTGTTACATATCGGTTCATATCGGCTGATACATATTGTATCGATACGCCCCTATAAGGGTTGTATCAGGTCAGGACCTGATTCAGAGGGTATCCGGGACTTAAACCGGCCCCTCTGAATCAAAATCGAAAAAAAAAAGTAAAAGTAAAAAAAAAGGACTGATACTGGCCGATATGCCCTACCGACATATCGGCCAGTATCAATACTTTGAACTTGCTTCCAACAGCTTAGATAGCTAAAAGATGTAATGAGCTTTTGGGATTTTGTCTTTAAAGACCTAGAATGTTTAGTAAGTATCTTGTCCACTGTGATCTACAGAGTTGTTAAATGAATGATTTTAGGTGTAGAAAGGCAGAAAGCTGCATTTGAAGCTTCCAGATTTTTTGTCATTTGGGCTTTCATGAACTTTTTAGGGCATAAGTCTTTGTGGCTTTCCATCTTTCATTGCCAAACAGAGAAAGACCAAATTTTGGTCTTCCAAGTTTTGAAAAGATCGAAAGATCACACGAAAAAACTTGTCAAACTCCTCCTTTATCAACCTTCCATTGGAATGGAGTGGTAAAGGATGGCTCTAACCCTAACATCCATTGGAATAAATTTAATCAAAAGAAAATAATCACTCTATTCGGTCAGTATTATTCTTTGTTCGAAGAAGGAAGATACACTGTTGCTGATGAAGAACCCAGATCCCTTCCTTATTCTCTCTTCTTCCTCATTCTACATTGTTTGGTAGATCTGGGAACCAAATGTTGCTTTTATCATAAAAATTAAAGCAATCATGGCCCATGCCTTTATCATTCTACACTGATGAAGAACCAGAATTGTTATGAAGTGCTAAGGGTATTTTTAGAATAAACAATCATGGCCCATGCCTTTATAAACATATTCCTCTTACTTGGTTTAGGTTTTTCAGACTAACAATGCAAATGGCTCTTAAATGGCAGGTCGATTAAATAAACAGATTGCAAACTTTAGTAACTAGGAAGGCCAATTAAGATGGTGTTTGGTATCGATGTATCTTTTCAGAGAAACGGTGCCCACTCAGCATTATCAGATAAACGGATCTCTGAAAAATCTGAGAGCCATTTATCAAAAAAATGCTAAATCTGATGTTTCTCATTTTTAAGACCGCTTTCTTACTGTTTGGCTTATATGGCGCCTAATGGCGCTGAGGTGTAAAAAATCGTACAAAACGTTTAAAGCAATTTTGTCTCATTTTTCAAGACAAAATTGTATAAAACGTTTATTTTATAAACACCATCGATACCAAACAACCGCTAAGTATATCGATTGTAAATTATAGGGGTCTTTTAGTAAATTACCCAAATTTATATTAAGACAAAATGGGCTGCCCCAGGTTGGACAGGGAAGCTTTCTAATCTCAATCTCAGACCAAAAGTAGATCTCTACCCCCCATGACTTCTGGACAACCACATAAAACATGAGGAATGATTCATAAAAGAATCTGTTTGCCTCTTCATTTTAGGGTCCATGGGCCGACACTTTGACCTAAGAATCCCACCAGCTAGATCCATTGGGTGTGGGTCAAATCTCCTCACTGTTAGTTTCTTACTATGAATCACTGTTGCCATACTCCGATGGTCGAACCATTTGGACCGAAAACCGGCACCCGGAATGGTTCTTGAGATGCCCAGTTCTTAGCTTTAAAAGATCATCTAGAACCATTTATCCATTTATTTATTTGTTTGTTTTTGACAGTTATTAATTTGAGTGAGTCAAGCAGTTGAACCAGATGGTTGTACCATTAGATCCGTGACCCAGTGCCTTAAAACGTTTCGTCTACAGTCCGAGTTAATAGCACTGTTTGCATGGACAAGACAGGTCGGATCATTGCTGTAGGGACTAACTGATTAAGGTACAAGGTTTTATGTTGAGTTACAATACGAGAATTTGAATTCCGTAGAAATAACATTATCACTATATTGAGTGGGACCCTTATCTTTTCTAGGCTCAGTTGAAACAGAATGGGCCTTAGGGCCCAGTTGTATGAGCCATATCTTTGCCGACGCCAAATTGATTATGGGCCCTACTTAGGCCCACCCCAACAATTAGCCCATTGAAGATTCTAAGTGTAGGTAGCATTAGCAAGTATTAATGTTCCTAGAAAACCCATCAAGATAACAAGCCCAACTGCACTAGTAAATAAAAGTACTTTTCCAAGAATGTGGAATCAATTTGTCTGTCCCAAACAGTGCTAAATTTCTCTTTCTAGCAAAGGAACATAATACATTGAACACTTTGGGGAAAGCAAAGGTGATGAAAATCACAAACAATGCGAAAAAAAAACAAGAGAAGGGGGGGGGTGAAGAAGAAAGTAAAAAAATATCTGTTTGCCTAAAAGCACCTTTTGTTTTGCTTTTCCAAATCTCCAGTAACTTCTAGTCTTCTAAAGTATATAAAGGGGGAGTTGATTGATGAACTTGACATTTTCAATTTGCCCTGTTTTAGTATTATTAAAAGTTAAAGCAGCAGATTAGGAAATGTCCATCTAATTCTAGGGTAGGAATCAATTGTTGACGTGATTTGCAGAGTAATTAATTAACCCATTTGAAGACAGTGAATGACCAAAGATCAACCCAAAAAAGCTAGAAGCCTAGAACAGACCATAGCCATCCAATCAGATACAGTGATATACTCTACCACTTTGGCAGACAGGATTGGTGATCGATATGATATTTATCTTTCTTCATTCAACTTTCCAATGAAGTCTCATCGACATAACCTAGCTTCTATTGTTATTTTTCGTCTTGAATCTTACAAATCTAAAGTTACTGAATGAAGTTTACTTAGGGTGCATTTGGGTAAGCTTCAGGAATGGTGCTTTTAAAGCCCAAGAGCAGAAAACCTCAAAAGTATTTTGGGGCTTGAAAGTGTTTTGTCTTCAAACACTTGTTGGCCCAATT